TTTCGGATTTCTTGGGCGGGTTTCTTAGGCGATTGATCGTTGTTGTCTTGTTGTGGTTGTTGTTGTTTGTGTTGCTGAATGAGTTGGTTTAAATGTGGGTAGTTTGTGTTGTTATTGTTGTGTGTCGTTGTTGTTGCTGTTGTGTGTTATTGTTGTTTAATTTTGTTGTTGTGTGTGGTTGTTGTAGCTGTTGTGTATTGTTGTGTTGTCGTTGCTGTTTATTGTTGTTGTTGTGTTTTTGTTGTGTGTTATTGTTGTGTGTTATTGTTGTTGGGTGTTGTTGGGTTGTTATTGATATTTATTGTTGTTGTTTATTGTTGCTAGTGTTGCCGTTTATTAAGTTCAAACTGCTCTGTAAGAATTTTTCATACGGTTTTCTAAGATAAGGCTGCTGTCTGTTAATACGAACGAACACACCTAGGCACACACACACACACACACACATACACGCACACACACACACAACACACACTCAGCTAGATTAAATCGCAGATCCAAGTGACGCATTGTTATTATTATGATATAACAATAGATTTACGTTTAATGGTGTTTCAGCTACCTTACGACGGCCTATTCTAAGTTCTGAGCTATGTTAGTGAATGATTTATATTTGTCCAAATAATAATATTAACAATAATAATAAATATAATAATAACTAGTAGTTAGTGTTGTAGTAGTAGTTAGTAGAGTAGTAGTAGTATTAGTAGTAGTTGTAGTAATAGTTGTAGTTGTTAGTATTATAGAAGGTATACAAAGTTAGTATAGCAGGCAGTAGTAGAAGTAGCAGCAGTAGCAGCGGTAGTAGTAGTAATTTGTTAGTGATTATAACATTTTTTAACTATAGAAAATAATTTCGACATTAATTTCGTAGAGCCCACAAACACAAAATCAAGGTATTGAATAAAAAAATATGTCTTAATCGTCTAGAAAATTATTTATGTCATCTTCATCATCGTCGTCATTATCATCATTTTCTTCTTCTTCCTCCTCTTCCTTTTCTCCCTCTTTATCATCAACATCCTCATCGTCATCATAAAAATTTCAAGAATTCATCAAAGAAATACGCAAAAATGTCATTGTCATTTTTAACTAGTGATTATAAAGAAGCAAGGCGACGACACTAACACAATCGCGTTAAAACACGTATGAATTATTCTTCTTACTCTCTCCCTTTCTCTCTCTCTCTCTCTTTCTCTCACTCTCTCTTTTTTCTCATGTGTTTGCATGTGTGTCTGGGTTAGAGGTGAGCATGGGAACGGTAAAACTTATTTTTCGTAAATTTTGTAATATATATATATATATAATATATATATATAAATATATAATTAATATAATGTAATAATATATATAATATATATATATATAAATATATAATTAATATAATGTAATAATATATATAATATATATACGCAGAACCACTTACAATGTTGCGTATATATAATATTATTAATAACAACAACAACAATAATAATAGTAACAACAACTGCAAAACATTGCTTATAAACATTTATTATTCTCAAATGTGGAAAATTTTTAGATTTCATTTTATAGAGTTTAAAAGGCTCTTTGGAGTTGATAGGTTTAATAATATCCACCACTATCTTTTTAAGCGGTCCGGTTATGAAAAGAGGAAATTACCACAGATAATCCGACGGGGACTGTTAAAGTTTTTTGGTCACATCATGCGGAAGGAAAGAATGGAAAATTTAACAACTACTGGAAAGATTGCAAGGAAAAAGAGATCGCAGTCAACAACGAATAACATTCGTAAAGTCTACGTGTCACTTGTTGAATTTCACCCCATTTCAATTCTTACAAAGCGTTAAAGACCGGTTTTTGTGGAGGTTCTTACAAAGCGTTAAAGACCGGTTTTTGTGGAGGTCGAAGGTCGCCAATGTCCCGAAAGGATAAGGTACGAGAAAAAAGAAGAAGAAGAAGAAGAGTATTTTCATATAAAATACCACAATTAGCACGTGCAAAGCTATCAAAAAAATGTTTATGATAAATTTTAATTTCCTTTTCCGCCAGTCACATGTGTATACCAAATTTTTCTTTAACAAAATTTGTCAAGGTAGTTATGTAAAATTTAGTTTTGTTCCTGTAAAGTAGTTTTTCTTGATTTTTTGATCGTCTTGTTGCATTTTTGTAAACATCAGCGGTATCTCTAAAGCTAAAAAAATTTATAAATAATTTTTGTTGGATCATATTTGTTCAGCGCAAACTCACACCTCGCCGCTGTCATTTCACGGTAAAAATTCTAATTTTTAACTTAAAAAATTAAATAAATTTTTGCGAGAAACAAAAATAGGGATTACATTTTAAAAAAAGCGGCTTTTTAAATAGTTGCTAGAAAAATATAAAAAAAATGAATATCATTTAAGTAGATTAAAATTATTTTCATCTTATTAACACAAACAAATTTTGTTTGCAATAACTGACATGAAGTGTACACAGAACGTAGAAATTCTAAATAAAAATTGTTGGTTCAATGAATAGGCAGGATTTTGAAAGGACTTCATATGCTTCTTCAGTATAAATCTGTACGATTTTCAAACCAAATTTTACCTAAAATGTTGAAATTGTAAAAAATTTGGCGAAAAAAAATTAAAAAAGCTGTTAAACATTCAAACTAAAATGTCTCAACCAAGTCTGGCAATAATATTTTTAATGTTGCCACTATTTGTGAGCCTGTCTTCAGCGGTTTCTCGAAGTCTCTACAACAGACTGAAATGGGAGAAAACTGCTCTCTGTTCCAACTCCAGCGACAAAATTCTGATTTCCGGCACGAACAAACTGCCAACGGAACTGATTAATGCGAAAGATTATGTCAAAAGATGCAGTTTGAACTGCCAAACTTCCATTAAGAAATGTTTGGCATTCCAGGTAACTGTGATTAACTCGAGTAACACATATCTATCTGATGTGTTATGCCATATTTTTTATGAAATGCCCAACGGTCTGTTTGCCACTCTTCAAGATACTGACTGCTTTCTATATCTGGCTGCTAGTAAATATAGAAATTAATAAGATTAAAATAAAAAAAAAAAATTAATTTTAATTTTTGAAGATCCCGGCTATAATGAAATTGTCTCTTGGGGACTGAACGACCTTCAGAAACCGAAATCCAGTTACTGCGTGAAAAATGTTACCAAGGGCATACTCTTATATAAATTGAACCTGCAGAAAAACTATTTCAAGTATGATTATAAATGGTTTAATATCTCCACCGACCTGGAAGACGCCTCGAGCTTGAAAAATTACCTACAAGTAGGTGATTTATTTTCTAACGCTGGTGCTCTTATAGCTCGAAAAATTGCCTAACTTATTAAATTTTTCAATTTTTTGACCGCTAAATAATAATAATAATAATAATAATAATGATAATGGTTTTTATTCTCTTAGAGCACTTCAAAAGGAACTGTAGTCGCGGGTAGAACGTGTGACGAACCGAGACTGAACCTAGATTCAATTATTCCTTATCTGCAAAGTATAAACCTAGATGTCACGAATCTTCAAACTTATGGAAAGTGGCTGTTCATGTGGCAACAGGGTGCCTATGAGAAAGCTATCTCAGTAGTGGATAACACAAACAATATTCTGATAAGACATTTTGTCATTTGTAACCTAGGCAAGTCGTGTGTGTGTGTGTGCGTGCGTGTGCTTGTGTGTGTTTATGTGTGTGTGTGTGTATGTGGGTGTGTGTCGGTGTCTGTATGTGCTGTATGTGTTAGTTTATGCAAGTTTGTGTGGTTTTCTTGTCTTCAAGTTTTCGTTGACAAAATTTACACCATGTGATTAGTAAGAGTTAGGAGGAATGTTTCTATACTCTTAATAGTTTGCCAACACTGGCTATATTTTTATTAACAACATTAATTTAATTAAAATTTAGCTAGATATCTTTTCACAAATTAATTTTCCATTTCTATATTTTTTTTATATATATACAGCCACAAACAAATCGGATTGGACTGGAGTTAGGATAATGATGATAAACTAACCGGAAGTATGCAGCATCCGGAATTTATGACGTCATTATAGCGATGAAATACGTCACGATATATATTTAAGATATGGTAGAAAAGTATATTTTAGTAATATTTTGACATTTTTCAAACTCTTATGACCGTTCGGATTGATGATGCATTTGAATCACTGTACTGGTTGCAACGTGTGACCGGTATGGCGTTGGGTACGATGGTGAAGATGATGACGACGATGAAGATAACAACAGAGAAGATGATGATTGTGAGGATGGTGAAGACTGTGGTAATGGTGATGATGAAAATGATGATGGTGATGATAGCACTTATACATATTTGAGGCATATGTTTATTAGAATGTACATATATATATACATATATATATATATATATATATATATGTATATATATATATAGCATATATTAATATATATGTATAAAGAATGTATATTTATACACTCACAGACACACACACACATACACACACACACATACATGACAAAAGACAATCGTTAGTCAAAGTGTACATTGAACTGTATGTTACGAATGGCAATCAAAGGACTGCACTAGCTTATGTTACTTCTATCATTAGTGGTACTTTTATTATTATTATTATTATATTATTGTTATTATAATTGCTTATTTTTAATTAAAAAGCTTTCGAGGTAAAATCAATTCTGCCTCTTCTAGAATAAAACAACAGCGATTCTGCCACTAAGAATGACCCCATTATGCTTACTTGACAAGAGAAAAAAAAGGGGTTAACGACCCATTAATAATATTAATAACATTAACAACAATAACAACAACAACAATAATAGTAATAATAAATATGCATTAGTAACTAGGCGACTCATAAATGAATGTATGAACGAACGAACGAACGAATGAACGAACAACAAAATGAATGAATAATTTGTTGATAAGTCAATAATTTGACAATAAAAAAATGTTGATAATAAAAATTATTATTTTTTATCTTCTCCTTTTTCTTATTATTATTATTATTATGCCGTTTAAAATGAAAGCGTTGATCTTCTAAGAAGCACAATTGAAAAAAATTTCGATGAATATTATTCATACAAACCTCCAAAATAGATAGATATCGCGATGCATTCGTGATTCAGATTAATATTTCTTATAGTTATCCACCTATTTGGCACCTTTTCATCATCTCCCGGAATGCGATACACCAAACTAATCTGGAAGAATATGTCTATATGTTCGCGCTCTGATGATAAAACTTTGATTTTCAACAAAACTGAGCTTACTAAGCCACAATTTGACGTTAAGAAATACTTGAAATGGTGTGCAGTAGGGTGCCAAAAATCGTTCGCTGAATCTTGTAATGCCTTTCAAGTTAACTGGATAAAATCAGTAAGAGATAGCCAGGACACTAATGATGATATCATATACGATGTGATATGCTATCATGTCAAAGATATACCTGAGAATATCTATGTAATCTATGATGATACATGCTACCTTTACTTTATCGAAAGTTAGTCAATAAAATTTTTGGCTTTTACACACTCTGTGTATAAGCTCACATTCAATCAAACTTACACAACAAACACTCCCACATACACACACACGTACACACAGATACACCACACAAACAAACAAACACTCACTCACACACACAAACACAAACAAGCACACACAAACAAACAAACAAAAACATATGGAAAACAAATTTTCAGACCCTGTATACATAGAAATATTAGCATGGGGAAATGACGATTTATATGAATACCCAAACGCTAAAAAACAATCGTCCAACATTTTGACAATGAATCACTTGTGTGGGTCTAGTATCAATAGAGGTGTCAACTTGTACAAACTAGATATGACGTCACCCTCGCTGTATGACTATCGAAACTTCGATTATTATCACTTATCGAGTTGGGCCATGGGGATAAAACAATATCTAGAGGTTTGTATATTTTTTTTACGACTGCAAATTTATTATTTTTGTTGTTTATGATTATATTGGGGTATGTATGATTTAATGATTATATTGTTTATGTTATTGTTTCATATGTAATATGTGTGGAGTGCTTCTTACGTGCTTAAGATATATATAACAACTTCTGCGGTTGTCAGAGTCAGATTTTGAAAAAATAATAAAAAATATTAAAATTTAACAACAAAAAAAATGGAAAAATAAAACCAAAACTAAACAAAGGAAACGCCTATTGGCACGGTGGTTCTCGGTCAAACATGTGACGAACCATACACAAACCTCTTCACGGTGGAGGCCTTCTTGAAAAGTGTTAACCTAGATGTGGCTCAGTTGCAGTTTAGAGGAAAATGGCTGTTTGTCTGACAGCAGGGTGCCTATGGAAAGACAATTACCATTGTTGATAACTCGAAGATTCTTCTGGAGAAGCGGTTTGTGATTTATAATCCAGGTCGGTGTAGATTTTTTTTTGGGGGGGGATTAGTAGGATGGGTTAGTATGAGGGATTTGTGCGATAGATTAGTTTTATGGATTAGTATGATGAATTGTTATGATGAATTATTAGGATGAATTATTAGAATGAATTATTATGATGAATCATTAGGATGAGTTATTAGGATGAATTATTAAGATGAATCATTATGATGAATTAATATGATGAATTATTATGATGGATTATTATGATGGATTGGTATGATGGATTATTATGAAGTTTTGTGATTTTGATTAAGGTTTCATTTTTGTAATTTAATAAAAAAATGTACATTCATTCACTCATTCGTTCACTCACTCACTCACTCACTCACTCACTCACTCACTCACTCATTTATTCATTCATTCATTCATTCATTCATTCATTCATTGCGTACATACATACCTGCAAACAAATGATTATCAGCCGACAACAAATCTGATTGGATGGCTTTGAAGATAAAGATGATCGACTAAATGAAGCCAACGTGGCAATGATTTGACTTTTCAAATTTTTCAAAATTTTTGTAACTATTTCAACAATATTTCGTGCTGATGATGACAACTTAATTATCAATTTTTTTTTCTTTTTTCTTGTAAACCAAAGGACAACAATTCATGCTACGTCTTAACGTTAATTGGATTTGTGATCATGAAACCATTGTAACAAAAATTTACACCTTTTCAAACTATTTAACTGCTTTAAATTGAATAAATTGAACTAACAGTCAAAGTCAACACCTTTTTTTATATATTTAAAACATCTAAACTTAACAAATTTGCTAAAAATTAAATTTGGCAAATTTTTTCACAAAACCTAAAGCAAATCGAGACAGGCAAAAACAATAAACTAACAAAGGAACAATGGGATTAATTAGCGAAGGAATGCCTAATGCAGCGTACGTATAATTATTGTACATTTTTCATCTTACTTTGTTCAAAATTGAGACAATGAGACTAATTAAATACTACAAGAGAAGCAAAAATTACTTATTGTAAAACAGAAATATTCATTTGTAACCAAGCAACCATCAAAAGAATCCTTCTTTATCACATCATCGACAACTACATTAATTCCAAAAATGCATCACACACGTTCATATCCTCAAAGATTTTCACAAAATTTTTAATATCTTGAAACATTTTCAAATTTTAGTTAATAATAATAATGTCAAAATGTGATTCTGAACTGAATTAGCTTTGAAGTTTTCTAAATTTTACCACCAAAAAAAACCCGTAAAGATATGAAGTAAACCCGTAGCAATCAACTTTTATGCAAAAAAAATTATCGAAAAAAATGAATTTGTGTTATATACTGACAATTTTAACATTTTTACAAATTTTTAGCCGAATTTTGACACTACTATCACCAACATTAACGGTAACAAACAGGCAATACAGTAGAATGCAATGGCTAGGTGAATCTCTCTGTTCAAATTCGACCAAAAAAATGTTGGCTCTCACAAAAATCGGAGTCTCTATAGAAATGATTGAAAAAATGAGATTAGTGAAAAAATGCGCCTTCCAATGCCAAAAGTTTATAGATTCGTGTTTCGCGTTTCAAATAAATTTGTTGGATTCCGCCAGTGTGGTTGATGAGTTTGATTTCGTCTGCTATCACTTCAGTGACATTCCAGATAGTATCTTCACGAATCTTCAAGACAACTGCTCTCTATACATCAGTGGAAGTAGAGTTTTTAAAATTTCACATTTATAATAGACATAAATATTAACTTTTAATCTATAATAAATCAAAATAATCACAAAAGATAACATCCACATAATTTTTTTACAATCCAAGAACCAATATACATGAGCGTTTCTTCCTGGGGTATGAATGATGCGGACAGGGATTCATACGACTCGAACAAGATAGAGGTGCTGGGCGGGGGTAAATATGAACCCCCTCACGGCAGCCGCGGGGTCTTCATCTTCAAACTCAACACGCTGAGCCACACTTTGTACGATTTTGATTATTTCGGTTATTACAATGTTAATAACTCAGCTGAAGCTACAAGATTCAGGGATGTTCTTACGGTGAGATGTATATTGATTGTTGTTTAATGTTTTAATAGTAACAGCGTAAAAAATTATTATTTATTTTTCAAATTTAAATTAAATTAAAGAAAAGCGTTAGCTGCTAAAAAGCTTTTCGTATATTTAATTCGCTAAGGCATTTCAAGTTTAATTACAGTTCGGAATTGGAATACACCCATCAACTATTGAACTTTCGAATTTTCCTTGAGAGAGTATTCAGTTTTGGATTGTTAAGATCAAATTTTGTTTAAAAAATTCATTATGGTCTCATGTTTTTTCAAAAATTCTATATAGACAAGTAAATAAATAAATTCATTTCGTATCGTATCAATGTCATAAGCATCACAGCCACCGCGTTACAGAAAAAAACATTTCGTTTCATTTCGTTTCGTATCGAATCACTGTCAGTCCAACCGTCATATTCCTCACATCATATAGAACATCCCAAGTGGGACTATAATAGTGGGACGAACCGGAGACGAACCTTATAACGGGATAGCACCTATAATGTCCTACTTAAGAACTGTTAATTTGGATGTCTCTAGTCTGCTCTTTAGAGGAAAATGGATTTTTTTATGGCAGCAAGGTGGTTATGAAAAATCTCTCTCCTTTATTAGCAATGTGAATGTTACTATGAAAAAACTGTTTGTGGTCTGTAACGTAGGTTGGTTGGTCGGTTGGTCATTGCTATTCGTTTTTTCAACTTTAAAGTTGTTCATATTTTTTGAAATGTCATAAAAAAAATCTAATTTATCGTTTAATTGTGAAATTTTGACTGGTAAATTGTCTTTTTTAAATTAAATTAACTTATTTCATTTTGTAAAACAAAAAATTTATTAGTTATAAAAAATTAGCAACTTTTCAACAAACTTCATCACCACATTTCACCCCATTTCATACATTTTAGCAAATAAAATTTGGCAACTTTTTCAAAAATTTTCTCACCAGGTAGTGACAGGCTAGATTGGACGGGCATTAGGATGCAGACCATAAACTGAATGGCGATACAAATTCTTGACCGGGGAAACTTTTATCTAATACATTATCTAATACATCTAATTCTTTAAATTACTTTTCTAAACATGCCTCGAAGTTTAAACTCGGATTTTTCTAGCACATTTTTAAAAAATTATTTTAAATCTTAGAAACCGCGGGCTAAGTAAGGAATGGTAGAGTGTGTTTGATGTAGCCGTGAAATCCCCAGTCTATCAGATTCAATGTATGTAACGCGTAGAATCACATTTACTTTCGACAAGAATAACTATTTTATTTTTTAATTAAAATTAATTAATAGTAGTAAATTTTATAGGTTATTTGCTTCAAATAAACAAAACCAACACGCCATTTTTGGAATACATTATATTTTTTTTAAATTAACACAACCAACAATACCAAAAAAGTTTAAATTAAGCTAGCCAAAACTGAATATAAAATTAAGAAATTCAAAATATCTGTTAAAATAGGCACAAAATTTTGTACTTTTCATACCTAGGTCTTATACAAATACCTTTCAAAATACCCAATAATCACCACATAAGCAAATACAAAAATGCCTCTAATGTCTTAATGTCTTTTTGGTATTTTTCCATGTGTTGTATTTGAGAGCTGTATTTTTTACTATGATGTTTGTTGATTTTTATTTAATATTATTATTTTTTTTTGTTATTATTATTATTATTCTTACTACTATAAAAATCATAAGAACCAATGCCAAATAACAAATAATTTTAAGTTAATTCACGCTACACGCACACACACCGACTCACACACACATACACACATTCACACACACAAACAAACACACACACACAAACAAACAAACAAACAAGCAAACAGACACACACATACATACATACATACAGACATACATACATACAGACTTACATACAAACATACAAACACATACATGTATGCGAAAAACGGCCAAGTCATGAAACCAAAAGCACAAAAAAAGGATGACTAATCATCTATCTCTATTTGATATACAGAAATTAAAAACGCGATTCTGTATTATTTGTTTGTCTGTATGTGTATGTATGTGTGTGTGCGTGTGTGTGTGCGCGCGCTCATAAAGCAATATAAATGATATTAATGTAAAAAAGGCATTTTTATTCATAGATGAAAAAAATATGTCTTTGTGTGACTGTGTATGTGTGTGTGTGGTGTGTGTGGTGTATGTATGCGTGTGTGTGTGTGGGGAGGTGTGTGTGTGTGGGGAGGTGTGTGTGTGTGTGTGTTTGTAAATATATTACAAATAACTCAACGAAATGTGATTTAATACCCAAATCATGGAAGCATTATACATAAATATGTGTGTATGTATGTTTGTATCTGTGTGTGTGTGTGTTTGTGTATGTGTGTGATACGAAAATTAGCATTTAGATCATAAAGGCAATGTATTTTTCACAATTAAATTGAAAAAGGATGGATTATAGAAGGAAGTTCTCGAAAAATATGGAAAAAAAAATTTCAGCTGGTAAAATTGACAATTAAGACTCTTCGAACTGATTTTGTGTTTATTTTTTTCCAAATATATTTTTTTGTCTTCTTAAGTTATCTAGATTTAAAATAAGTTATCCTGATCATGATCATGATCATCGTCGTCATCGTAACCATCATCATCATCATCATTACTACTACTATTGCTACATTTTTATTACGTTATCATTAAGGCTATCACTGCTTATTATGATCATAATAATAATTATTATTATTATTTATTGTTATTATTATTATTATTTATTGTTATTATTATTATTAAAACGTAGCATCATTATCAGGCGGAGGAGTGTTCCAAGATTCATCGAGAAATTTATCCAGACGAACGAATTGTCGAAAATTCCCATTACTAATTTTAGTGTCAGCGTTGGGAAACTCTCCTTTTTTGGTTACATTGTTGTTGTTGCTGCTGTTATTGATGTTGCTGTTGTTGTTGTTGTTGTTGATGTTGCTGTTGTTGTTGTTGTTGATGTTGCTGTTGTTGTTGTTGTTGATGTTGTTGTTGAAAAGCGCGTCATAATCGGCATCGATTGAGACGTTAGACAGTTTTTTGACGCTGTTGTTGGTGTTTAGATTATTAACGATGAAGTTGTTGTTGTTTTTATTGTTGTTATTGATGCTGTTGTTGTTGTTGTATTTTGTGTTGATGTTTTTAACAGAATGTAAATCGAAATCGTTGTAGGTTAGGTCAATTTCGAAGAGTTTATCATTTGAACTATTAATACTGGTCGCATTCTTTTTGTTGCTGTAACTGTAGTTGTTGTTGCTGTAGTTGGTGTTGTTGTTGTTGTTGCTGTTGCTGTTGTTGTTGTTGAAGTCATTATTTGAATGAACGTTGGAGGGCTTTTTGGCACTAGACAATCCATTTATTTCGTCAAGTTTGGCGTCATTGGGCGTTGGGCTGTTGAGAGAATCCAACTGAAACTGACTCGACAATTTGTTGCCATCCTTTTCCGATCCAATAGTGAATAAGTTTTTATTTTGGATGCCGGGGCTGACTTTTGTGAGATGTGGCTGGTTGGAGTTATTCGCCTTTCCATTCCTCATTCCGTTTTTTGTTTCGTCGTTGGGGTGGTTTTCAATGGCGATAGCCTCGTTTAAAATGTCGGAATGGTTACTGTTTGACGGAGTTGCTGCTGTCTTAGAAACGTGCGAGAACCAGTTTTCAGAATCGTTCAATTTTAGCTTGCAGTTATCCTGGACTTTCCCTTTCGAGAATCTGACCGGCTGTTTGTTTTTCGATTCATCTACTTGCCATAGAATTGACTGGTTCCTTTTCTGGTAGTGGGCGATTTCTGGCGAACTCTTAAAAATTGGAGATCGGTTCTTGAAATCGTAGTTCTTGAATTCTTGCTGACGTTGTTTCTGCTGTTGAGATGTCTTTGACGGGTCTTCATTTAGAAGCCACGTTAGGGAGCCCACAAACTCGCGTGACGGACTGTCGGAATGAATTTTAACCAATTCTTCTATATTCAAGTGTTTAAATTAATAAAAGCCATCAACGTTGACAAATTACAAAATAAATTAGAAAAAAAACTTTTTATAAGATCAAAATTTCAACTGACCACTGTTTAGTTCCTCTCTTAACGTTATTCTTTGCCGCACTCACACTTGCACTCATCTGATCAAGCCCATCAAAGACGACCAAGTCGGTGGCCCCAGGGCTCACCCCACCCGACAACGAAACGCTCCTTCTGTGACTTACACCACCATCATCGTCTTTATTTTCATCGTGTCTGAACCAGTTGTTCGGGTTTCCGTCGTGCAGACGTTCCTTGGCCACACGACAGTCACCACGACGAGATTTGGGTTTCCTCTGACATGGCGGAAGTGGGTCAGGAACTTCCGGTCCGTGTTTGTACCAAACGTGTTGGTTGCGAGATTCCAACTTCTTCTGGATGTTCTTTGCGTCTGGGCTGACCAGCCCCTTGCCACCTCGAAAATTTTTTGAATGTTTAAATTTGAAAGTTGCATTTCTATAAAAAAAACTGGAACTTTTAAAGTCATAATATTCAAAATTTTCATCATTAATATTTTTCTAACAATTATCACCATCACCAACCATTCCACCATACATCTCAGCTACTTACTCATTGGTCTGATTGGTTTTGAGCCATCCGCGCCAACACCTCCATCTTCAAAATGTCCCTCACCAATGAACCAAGCGGCACTGGCCGGTCTGACAACTGCAATACACCCTTTTTGTTGGCCCTCTCTCAAAACTCCATCCGGAAATCCGGAAAGTTGTTTCCTACGGGAAGATGTCAACTGCGTTGTGGTAGTTTTGGCGTTTGTGCTGTCTTCTCGAAACCAATCACTCTCCGACCTGAGTTTGAGAGCGTTCTGTCTGTATTCGTCGTTGTTGTAGGCGATTCTGGAGCGCGGTGTGTCTGCAGTCGTGAAGAAATTAAACACTCCAGGTCCGCCGTTCGAAGACATGGTCAGATGATGGACAGACGGATCGATAAATGGATAAATGAGTGAATGATAGATAAAAATGAATAGAATAATAAACTTATAGTTAAATGGATGGATGAGCAGACGGTTGAGTGACTAGTTTGATGGACAGATTCTCGAATGGACGAATATGCGAGGAATCCGTTCAAGTTAGCTCTGCTTATACTGAGCAGTTTGACGATTTGATAATCAAAATTCACGCACGTTATCCTCCTACTAAGTTTTATCTGCCAAATTTATGAAATAGTTAAATATTTTCATATAAAAAATTGAGAAAAATTCAATGCAGATTATATATTTTATAAACGAATAAACACCTGATCAAATATGTGCTCACATGTGCCTGTATGTGTAAGTTGCATGTTTATTTATAATTTCAAATTTTCTCATAATTCTGTCTATGTGTGTTTTTGTATGTATAGTATACAAAATATTTGCGGTATTCCAGTGCGTATAATACAAAACAATACAATAAAATTTGAAGTATTTTCTATCCGAAAATACTTTGAAAAGTTAGGCCAAGAGCAAACAAAGATATGTAATATACTGCATACATTTTTACAAGTTTGTATGCATGTATGTATTGTATGTGCGTGTGTGTATGCGTGTATGAGTACGTGTGTATGTACGTATGCACATCTTTTGTATATACGTTCATGTATTTATTTGCTAGCATCTAAACAGTAGCTCTAGCAAAATGTATGCTAGTTGGATGGTTGCATATGTATCTGCTTGGTATGTGCTTGTATTTGTGTGTGTATGTGTGCGTGTGGGTATGTGTGTGCGTGCGCGTGTGTGTGTCTGTGTGTTTCCACACGGATGCGCCTAATTTATTTGAACGTGTTAAGCATGTTGAATGTTGATAAGGTGATTTATTTGAGGACCACACAAGACAGCAAATTGATGGAATATGTTTAGATAGATTGGATGGATGGATGAATGAGTAGATAAATGAACCATGAATGAATGAATGAATGAATGAATGAATGAATGAATGAATGAATGAATGAACGAACGAACGAACGAACGAATGAACGAACGAACGAATGAATGAATGCCAAAAAATGAACGAACAAATAAAAATGCATTCTTAGAAGGTAAAATTTATCAGCGTTAGCCCTTTCAAGGCAACTAATATAATGTAATTTTAAGTGTCTTAGACGGGCTTGATGCAATTTCAAATTAACTTTAAGCGCGCACTGCTGGCACGAATGGACATGAAGTTTTCCACTCTTATCTAAATGACTTTCTAGAAAAGTTCAAACGTTTTAAAAATCCAGTCAATTAAATGAATGTTGCAGTAACAAGGATGGTTAAAGGGTTAAGACGCCTGTTCTTGCTGCTGCAACGACTAGGTTTGAATGCAAAAAGAGCCAGCAAACAAAATGAAAATAAATCCTAATCACTAACACTCGTTTCTAACTTAACACTGCTTAGGTCAACGTTAAGAAAATGAAAGACGTGCTTGCATCCTATGTAATAAACTGGGAGAAACATGGAGATGGAGAGAATGAGGGGTAAGAGAGAGAAAGAGGAGAAAAAAGAGAAAGGGCACATGTGAAGAAAATTAAATAGGCACTTACAAATCAAAAACATTTTCAAACAATTTTTTTTTTCAAAAAAAAAAAAATAAAATTTACATCCAAAGTCCAATGGAAAGAAATTTTAGTTGACGATGTAAGTTGATGTTAAACTATTGAAAAATATTTTGTCAGTAATAAGTGAAGTGGAATCATTTTGCGATCAGTTTGTGGTATCCATATTTGTGTTGTTGTTTAATTAGAAGACAAATTTATTCATCTATAATTTAGTTGGTTAGTTAGTTCGTTGGTTATTTGTTCGTTCGTTCGTTCATTCATTCATTCGTTCTTTCGTTCGTTCGTTCGCGTTCGTTCATTCATTCATTCATAACCAGTTAAATTGTATTGAGATTCAGAAACAGACAGATTATTATTTATAACAAGAGAGGATATTTGCAATTGCCTCATCCTCATACGTTTCAATCTCTAGAATATTTATATTATGAGGAAGATAGAGAAAGAGAGAGAGAGGGGGGGGGGGGAAAGAGAGAGAAAGAGAGAGAGAGAAAGAGAGAGAGGAAGAGATAACTAAAATATGAACAAACAAACATACATACACACATACATACCTACGTATCTATCTAGCATAACAATGGAAGGACAACGATGTTATGTTATTTATCTTGTAATGAGATCATCCCATATTGTTTGTAATAATAGTCACTCATATACAACCCATGTGTGTATGTATTTGTTGTCTTAGTGCCCATAAGTATATCTCTTGTATATGTGTTTGTATGTGTTTGTTTGTGTGTGCGTTTGTTTGTGTGTGTGTATGTGTGTGTGTATGTGTGCGCGCGTTTAGGTAAGCATGTATGTGTGTTTGTTGTATGCCTGTGAGTATATTGTCTATGTTTGTTTAAGGGTTCACAGGGTTTGTTAACAATACTCAAGTATTGTGTGGCAAATACCCGTACCAGTACCGGCTTCATCATCGCACACGCACGCACACAAACACACCACACACACACACAGGCACGCACACACGCACATACACACACACACACACACACACACACACACATGTTAACAATAGCAACAAGAAGAGAAAGGATGATGACGTCAAAAATTGAAATAAACATCTTGCTAATTGGAAATGTATTAAAATAATCCGAACAAGGTCGACGATGAAGATGATGACGATGAAGATGATGACGATGATGACGATGATGATGATAACAAAGAACATGATGATGATTACGAATAATAATATGATTAGGAGGACAGCAGTCACCAAGATGAGCGCGCACACACACGCACGCACAAACACACATACAAAAAACACACCACACACCAACATACAAACACATACAAAAAAAACATACAATAACTTGTTAAACAAAACAGAAAAAAGAAGAAAATACAAAGAATACATAAAAAGAAGAGTGAATGACGCATCTAATGCACCTTCAATATATGGGCGTTTCGAAACATAAGTCTGCAGAACAACAACATGCACGTGTGTGTGTTTACTTATGTATGTGTATGTGTATAGATATGTGTGTGTTTGAATGTATGTGTGTGAATGTATGTGTGTGAATGTATGTGTGTATCTATGTGTATGCATGTGTGTGTGTCTGTGTGTATAGTGTATGTGTGTGCGCGCGTTTATCCATATCGCAAGCCAGGCTAGCAACTGTAAAACAGTATTGTTTTGTGGCATGATGATTACGTATCTATACTTTTTTTTATGTATTTCGGTTATTATTATTGCTATTATTATTATTTCTTATTATTCTTCTTCTTATTATTATTATAAATTTATATAGAGCTCTATGTCGCCAACAACACATACTAACAACTGGTCGTACTCTCTCTAGATAGAGAGAAGATAAAACATTACAGAAATCATATCAGAGCTAGACAATTGTTGTAAAGCAGATGGTGCATATTAAGTAGCAACAGATTGTACACACACACACACACACACACACACACACACACACACACACACACACACACACACACACACACACACATACAAACAAACACACTTATAAACAAACATACACACACATGCAAACATACATACAAACACACACACATACAAACACACACACATACAAACACATACACATACATACATAATGAGTACTTTGCAATGCTAATGTAACCTGATACGTAATGCAAAACGGTAAAGAGGAAATCATTACATTATATTTTTTACCGTAACCATGCTGATGATGATGAAAAAGACGATGATGATGATGATGATGATGATAAGGGTAATTTACTTATTCACTCGTTCGTTCGCTCATTCATCCATCCATCCATCCATTTATTCAATTTTGATAAATTCATACGGAATCTGTGTGTACGTATGTGTGTGTGCATGTGCATGTGCGTGTTTGTGTGCGTGTGTGTGTATTTACGTATTCGTGTATCAGTTCAGTAACAGTACCACCCATCACGTGTACACAAAGTTTTAGGTTTCATCGTGGCGAGAGATATTTTCAACTCTTGTTTTCAGAATAAATAAACATCTGATGATGTTATGTTTTGGTTTTGTTATTATAATCATTATTATTATTATTATAATTATTATTTTAATAATTATTATTATTTTAGTAACTGTAGTACTATAAGTGATAGTAATAGTAGCAGTAGTTTTTTGATTTATCGGTTGTAGAGTAGTTAAAGTTTTATTAATATTTTAATCACCGTTATATTATTCATCGAACATTCCTTTATTGGTTCATTCATTCATTTATTAATTCAGTTATCAATTCATTCATTCATTCATTCATTCATTCATTCATTTATTCACTCACTCACTCACCTCACTCACTCACTCACCTCACTCACTCACTCACTCACTCACTCACTCACTCACTCACTCACCTCACTCACTCACCTCACTCACTCACTCACTCACTCACTCACTCACTCACTCACTCACTCACTCATCCATCCATCCATCCATCCATCCATTCATTCATTCATTCATTCATTCATTCATTCCTTTTCTTCGTTCATTCATTCATTTATTTAAAGCCATTAAACATTCGTCATATCCTATCATAGCACACGAGTCAGCGTCACAATTTCAACCATAAAAATAGCACAATACTGAACGAAAATAAATCAATAAATATTATTATTACTATTATTATTTGTTATTATTTATTTATTTTTTAGTTGTTACAAACAATGTTGTTTTAATGTTTGTTGGTCTGGTTATTATGAATGTTCTTATAATAAAAATAATAATAATAATAATAATAATAATAATAGTAATAATAATAACAAATTAATAATAAAATAATTAATTAAATCACAGACAAAATACTCACCAGATTAGATTACAAAAAAATCTCTATAATCAATTAATTACTTAACTAATTAACTAGGTAATTTATTTATTCTCTATTTATTTATTTATCTATCTATCTATCTATTTATTAATTATTAATCATTTAATTTATTTTATTTTATAATTAAACGAAACAATGTTTATCGCACGGCGAGCTCAGTGCGCAACTCTTAAATGAAGAAATATCATAAGCACTTCACTTTATACGTATATGCGTGTGTGGGTGTTTGTGTGTGTGTGTTTGTGTCTGTGTGTGGTGTGTGTGTATGTATGTATGTGTGTGTGTACATACTTCTGAATAAGTGAATAAGTTCATGAAATCTTCAACGAACTGATGTAGCCATTCACATTTTAAGATTAATAATAAGCATTTACACAATTTTACTAGCAAAAAATTTTTAACAAATAATTAAATTAAAAAAATATATAACATTATTTTTAACAAATAACTAAATTTAAAAAAAAATAAAGTTGACATAACATTAAAACCGCAATAAAATCCAAAATTTTGAATTTCTTTCCCAGAATAATTTCTAAATAATTTCACCAAAATCGATGGAGAACTAAAAAGGAGAAGCGTCCATTACATCTGGCCCAAAATGGTGTTTGGTGTGTGTGCGTGTGTATATGCGTGTGTGTATGCGTGTGTGTGTGTGTGTGTGTGTGTATGCGTACGTACGTGTGTGATTATCAGAAAAATCTCGTTCATCATTTGGATTAAAACATACACACAGACTCACACACAAACGTATAATCGATTTGGAATATTTAAAAATTTCAAAGTTTGCTGGTACATTTACTAGAAATATCTATCGATGAATTTTGTTATTTATTGTTTTTGTACATATGTTTTGGCTTTTATTCAAGAAATGATGTCTCAGATCTTTATAAAAATGTTTTTGTGATGAAAAACACAAACACAAACATCTTTCATTCACTACAACTACTATATAAGCAAATACTTAATGAGATATACACGAATTCACCAAATCATTTAAAAGTTTTTAACATTAAAATCCCAAGTTTCATTTGTTTCGTTCCTCATGAAATCCAGTCGTTCAATATGACGTCACAGAAAGATGTTGACGTCATATTTCGATGAAAATTATCCATCTAAAGTTAGATTCTATTATAAAGAATTAAAACTCTTTATATGTTATGAAATACATATAGTAATAATATTTAACAATTTTTATAAATAAAAATGGCATATCGGTGATAGTATAGTATCGAAATGTGATATTTAGTTAGCGTTTATTTTAGATATAAAATGTATATTTATTGTCTTTGGTCCCAAATATAATCAACGAATAAATAAGGCTTCCTTTCTTTTTCCTCGTGTAGTCGATCGTAATCGCAAAGATGGTTAGTAAATTGTGCTAAAATTCATTTTTAGTTAATAAATTTTTATTAAAAGATATTTTTATGCATTTATAAGTGTTTACTTTTTACTTCGGCCTGTTGTTCTCGCTTATTTTTTACTAATCGCTCCGGTTGATTGCAAAATGGCCGCCGCAATGCTTTCCAACTGGTTTCGTTCGGCTCGGCATTATATTTATGTCTAATAGTTATAAATGCATTTTCTAACAGTATTAAACTTTTAATCTGTGTATAAATAATTGGTAAACTTAATTTCAAATATTCATTTCTTTAAAATAAACAGACCAAAAAACGACGAAATAACGGACGTTCAAAGAAAGGCCGTGGCCACGTCAACCCAGTGAGGTGCACGAACTGCGCCAGGTGCGTTCCTAAAGATAAAGCCATCAAGAAGTTTGTCATCAGAAACATCGTCGAAGCTGCTGCCGTACGAGATTTGACTGAGGCCTCTGTTTACCAAAGTTGGTCTTTTTGATGGAGTTGATTAAATTAATTTTTCTTTTTAATTTCTTTTATAAAGTGACATCATTTTTATTATAATTTGTGTCACCTTGGTTAAATGTTAATAGCTAAATTTGATGAGTAGCCTAGTTTGTGTTATAATTGCTGAAACTAGACTGTATAAAATGAAAAATATTCTCATAATAATTAAATAAAATTTGCTTATTCAGCTTATGTACTTCCCAAACTGTATGCCAAGCTACATTACTGTGTCAGCTGCGCAATTCACAGCAAGGTTGTTCGTAATAGGTCAAGGGAAGCCAGGAAAGATCGTACCCCACCACCAAGATTCAGGCCTGGTGCCAAAGTTCAATAGGTCAAATATTTTTCAATGATAATTTATCAATAGTTAGATGATCTGTTAAATTTTTAATAATTTGTATTGATAAGACTTTAATTTGATTTCTTAAATACTTGTCAATGATGGTTTATTGATTTTTTTGCAGGATGACAATGGAGACAGATGATTATTGAAACAAACTATTGATCTATGTCTTTATTATAATAATAAAAAATCTCAAAAACGATTTTTGTATTTTGTTTCATTTTAAAATGTAAATAGATATATGGATCTGAGGTCTTTGTTGTATTGAAGGCTGATGTGCAGGTAAGATTTGAGGGCTGCCAAATAGAGTTATGGATTTTTTTCCGCGTGCACCGTCGGTCACCAAAATGCGTTGTATTGGCTGTGCTTTTTTATAGGAATGTTCATAACTGCTAAGTTTCATGGGCAACACCGATTTTTTTTGAAGAAATGTGATAATTAACCATTTATTAACATTCTGTCAAAATATTTTTGAAATTAGAGTATAATGAAATTTTTTATGGATTTTTTCCGCGTGCCCCGTCGGTCACCAAAATGCGTTGTATTGGCTGTGCTTTTTTATAAAATGTTCATAACTGCTAAGTTTCATGGGCAACACCGATTTTTTTTGAAGAAATGTGATAATTAACCATTTATTAACATTCTGTCAAAATATTTTTGAAATTAGAGTATAATGAAATTTTTTATGGATTTTTTTCCGCGTGCCCCGTCGGTCACGAAAATGCATTGTATTGGCTGTGTTTTTTTATAAAAATGTTCATAACTGCTAAGTTTCATGAGCAACACCGATTTTTTTGAAGAAATGTAATAATTAACCATCTATTAACATTCTGTAAAAATATTTTTGAAATTAGATTATAATGAAATTTTTTATGGATTTTTTCCGCTTGCACCTCGCAGTCACGAAATTCAAAATGCGTTGTTTGAGTTGTATTGGTAGTTTTTTCATCAGAATGTTCGTAACTGCTAGCAACAACGACAATTTTTGAAGAAATGTGATAAATAACCATTTATTTAACATTCTGTACAAATATTTTTGTAATTACAATATGTTAAATTTTTTTTTGATTTTTTCCCATGATCAAAAATCCATTGGTTGTCTGTGTTTTTGGAATAGAATGGTCATAACTATTAAGTTTCCTGCTTGATTATTATTATTATATTATATATGATATTATATATATAATATATTATTATTAATAATTTTTTAAGAAATGTAATAAATAATCATATATTAACATTCTGTAATATTATTTTTGAAACTGTAATTCAAGTGAATTTTTTTAATTTTTTTTCACCCATGCCACCAATTAGTAAAAATAATAAGATTAAAAAATAGTT